TCAACTAACAAGAGATCGTGACGGTTCGATCGCATAGGTTAAAATGTTCCTTGTTGCTATGTTGTATACAGTAGCACTTAGTCACGGTAAAAGATAGTCTCGCGGAAGTAGATCTTTGGTATTAAGTAACGCTCCTCTAAACGAGTCTAATTCAGATATGATTGGTGCTGAAAGCTTGGATGTTAAGTTAGGGTTCGTGCCTCCTCCATACCAATACAATGAGACAATTAGTAATCTGCCAGGTGTCAATGGCTCCACCCCCTGGAAAATATAGATTGTGGGCTCAGTCCGTATATCAGCGAGTATATGAGTTGGACACTCACTCCACTCATAGAGGCCATCATACCTTATGCTCCATACAAATGTACGCGCTTGGGCGTCATTTCGAGACCGAATAAGAAGCCAAATCACTCTTTATGGTTTAGAGAGACAGAACCATTATGGCAGAGAATTCAATTCACATAGTATCAAAAATCGAGTGATGTGAAGCTTCTTAACAGTATATCCCTAATAAAGTGGCTTCTGGCACACTCATTCAAGGTCAGTTTATTGGCATATGATGCAGCAGAATATCCTTAATAGATATTGCGCTTGCCGAATTACTAAAATTGAGAGTGAGATAGAAAAGGGTGACCATTGTGGGAGGTAGCGTTGTCTATGGGACCGTATATCATGGAGACAGAAAGGACACATAACGGCTCTCCTGTAACCCTGATTTAAGTAAGGGGAAGGTGAATCATATAGACGTTTTGGTCCTTGGTGTGTAGTACTAGATTCGTCTTAATACTCTAGGTTTGTGGGTCCAGTAAATATTTTCGTTCGTTCGAGATTTTTTATTAAAAGAAACATATATTATATCAAAAGGCTCGGTGGCAAGTAGAGATGGTCTTCAGTATACCATGAGACTATTCGCATCCGGTACCTATATATGTGTCGTTAGGTGGAGCGTCTTGATAGAGGTTAGTGGCTAGACAGAGGTATAACTTCTCTTAAACATTTCATGAGTGTGACGGATGGCGTAGAAAAGCCAAATATATCGTCCAACGGCAAATTGTTACTTCCATGTTGAATGATTTGATACCAGGTAACGTTTGGTTTTCTGATTGCTCATTGTTTCTATGCCTGCAAATTATTCGTTACCCAGTGCCAATGGTTCAATCTACAGCATATTATGTGGAACTCTGGATACAACAATTGCGTCATATTCCTCACCAATGGAAAGATGTGTGAGGGAGGAAATGAAGACGTGTAAGATAGGAATTCTCGATGCACCCTCTGGGCGAATTTATCAGCCAAAGGCTGCGTTTATTGTGAATACCTTTGACTCAGCTGCTGAGGCATAAGACAAACGTTTTCTAGATGAATTTGTACTGCTCAGAACTTCCTCTCCTATGTGCTAGTAAGTCATGTCTAAATGGTCCAGAAGCTTGCGCATAACATGGATCGTATTAAGTACTGTTTGAATACCGTGCTTACGTGCGTGGTATTTGTATCAGAGGGGTGAGCAAATAATTACCATACAGTAACTTGAATGTTCAGAGTGAAGAGGTACCATTCACCCCCACGTGCAATATAACTTGTATTCATTCACTTGATGTTATTCTAATGTCACATTGGATTAGATAAAAGAACGAAGGAAAGCAAGGCTAATAAAGTTCGAACATATCTTTAATTGTAATGTTCTAATTTATGCGGTACAAACAACTTTGATTTGAGTATCTGCGTAGTGTATCTCGCAGGAACCCAGAGAAATCGAGTAGTTGCTTCGTAATCAGCTTGTGCTGCAAGAATAATTTGGCAACGACTCTGACGTACCGCGGAAAAATAGCATAAATACGTCGTCAGAGTGAAGATCATATGCGCACGGAGTGTTATTTGTTTTGGAATCAGTGTGTATCAGTGGATTGTCCCGCTCGCTCGCTCTGATGTCCAGAGAATGCAATTATGTATAGCTTTCTTATGAGAATGTGCAAACTCTGATATACAATAGCATTATACGAGTCTAGTCTGAAAGGATTTAATATGTGAAAACGAAAGACTAGATGTAAGACCTTGCAACCATGTAGGCCTGGCGAGTTTGTAGAATAGGACTGGGCAATGGAGGCTCACTCACTCGAGCATATGTTTGAACTGTGTTCGAACACATGAGTGAGATAGTCCTACTATATTGTACACATCCGAGGAGTCAATGAAGCCGAGTGTGCATAAATGAAGAGTACTACCATGTATGGAGAAACACACTTTAGGTTGTCAGGGAGTACTAGAGTTTATTATCAGGTGCTTTGGCATCAAGATGACAGTTCTGGAGTTAGTGTAGGCGAGAGTAAGGCGATGAAGCGTTTGGTATATGTATGGATCAGGTATTTTATATCTATTGAACGTCACCGCTGCGAGAGTGTCATGGAGTCAATATGACTCGTCTAGTCGGAGATGAGACATGTGATACAATACTTTGCATTATATATTGTTTAGACGAACAAGAAGGATAAACCAATCTTTGCAGCTACATTTGCAGAAATTAAATGTGACATGTAAGTCTTTGTGCATAGAAGGAATAATATATGAATTAGTGTCTGTATACTATGCAAGACAATGCCTACGGAACATTAGAGCATATTTAGTGCGAGGGTTCTGCGATGCTGTGATCTCATGTGTGGGTAGTGACACATGAAAGTATAGTTAGCCAGATAGTCTTACCCTTCCCGAGTGGAGTACATTCACTTTGAGTATAAGAAGCAGGAACCTTGTTTAGCTAAAACGAGGTCCGGCGCTAAAATAGACTACCAAGGATATCGGGAGCGATGCGACTTGCTAGACTAGTAAGTGCGATATCATGATGGGGTGTCATGGCGCCATGAGATCAAAATATTGGTAGTCCAATATGTTCCTTAATAGTCTCTTACGAATACACAACTTGCCTCTTGTGAAGATAGTACCCCTTGTGGGTTATGTAAAAGCTAAAATGCGAAATCAGATAGATAAACGCTCTAATAGTCGCTGCAGATAAGAAATCAGCAAAGAGATACATTTCTCATGAAATGGCTGTGAATTGAATTTTCAATGCGAGCTGCGCATTGACTCATTGGAATCTAAGGAACACTGACATAGATAGGTTTTCAATCGAGGACATATTTGTTGTAGACGGAATACAGAGGAGATGCCTGTCGGCACAAACGCAACTGATCCAGATTCGCCGGTTTCTACATATACTCCGCGATAATTTATTAGTCTCTGAGAAAAGAATATTCGGAGGAACATACTCTCTGACTAGAGATCACAACATTGTATGGTTTTTCTTTTCCTTTTTCAAATTTTGTCGTCCTCTTCGCTTTAATACACAAATCCTCGTATATATCACTCATAAGAGCGTATATGATGCTTTGGTAGTGTAGTTCGTTGAGCACATATAGTTAGTATATATCATATACGAGATTCTAGTGAGCATGTGATTGCTAGATTATACGCTACAATGCACCAACTTAGATGGCGCGCGAACTACGTAGGGGTAAAGTCAACTATATGTAGTTTTCATAATGGTCTGGTAGACGAGAAAAATAGAGGTCGAAGCTTCACTTGCCTTGAATACGGGGTAAAAATACCCACACTTTCAGGAGAATCCTAATCGGTTACAGTCTTCTACCGGTGATGATACGGAGCACAGGGGCGTTGTTCCTCTGTAGTGATTACTGAGTGTTCATTCTGAGAAATGTAATATATCATATTTTAGTTTTCTAACTTTATGAGACTACCGTGATGATTTCATATCGTTAAGGATACCATTAGTTCTGTCCATAGCAAGTATAAAAGCTCTTCATTAAACACAAAGAGTAAATGGAAACACATTCCCGTACGCATTACCATGATTTCTTATGGATACACTATGACACAGAGATACATAGAAGCAATATACGTAAATACCTCTATGTTGTCCTTACTCAGGCGAGACAAACACCACGTACGGGTAAGAGAGAGGACCAGCCATCTTTCTCTGATGGTATTAATTGACGTATATGACACTCAAAAATAAACATCATATAGAGTAAATGAGACAAACTACTTTTGGCTTGAGAATTTATTACACACACCATACAAAAACTTCTTAATAATCAACACAAATCATAAATTTACAGCACACTTGAGCGCAAACTATTAGTAGTTCAAACATTCAAACATTAATCATAATGGATATAGTAACGCGACTTATTTTAACTTCCAATGTCTTCTTTTATAGCAACTAACCTTAAAATATGTAAGCGATGGAGAACAGGGAGAGAAGTAAAATTAAAGGATGACTATCAAACTTGAAAATACTTCCGCGGGTCTCTGGGCGCGATTTCGCAACTTTATTAAGAGCTAAAATGCATAATCCTAGCCCCATGTTGAGTGATTGTGAATTACAAACTACGGTGTATAGTATATGGCGTATTGCATATATTAATTAATAATTACTTTGATGCCTCGCATGATCACCCCTCTGTTACACATTATGTGTAAATGACAATCCTAGGTAGTGATGTTAAATGCGCACCATACTCCTCTCAAGTACACCTGTGACGAGATGCACATATAGGTAGATTAAAATGCAACTCGAAGATTTCTGGTTCTTGCTGAGCTATGGAGAAATAACTCTCCTCGACAGAAGGCGATTTCTGTAAAGTTGCATCAGCAAGAGTCCTCAGGTTAGAAGTATACAAAACTGATTAATATCCTGTATTAGATACCGAAGAGCTGTACTTATGAATGAGCTCATTGATCGCTAGAAACAAGGATGGACTCACGCTTGACAACCCGCCGGAGAACAATGCAAATGCGAAATCTGCCCGTTGATTGATCAATCGGAAATACAAAGTATTTTTGCCTGTCTTGTTGTAGTTAGCATCGGAGTGGTTGGCATACTTGTACTGCAAGAAATGATAAAGCAACAAGATTTGAGTTCAGTGGGAGAATAGCTCTCGAGCATTTGAAGTGCAACAAGGCCAAGTAAAGTAACAACTATTTACCTTGATAGGAGCTGTGCATAGATATGGCTCATAGTAATCTTCTGTGAATGGACAAGTTGATGCACTGCCATAAACATAATTTGACTTGTTTTATTAATTAGTTAATATACAAGCTTTATCTAAAAATATGCAGTGGAAGAAAAAAAGAAGATAATGTAGTAAAATAACATAGAACAATTAAGAAATATGTGCACGACATTCAATACATGATTCGGAATATGCATGAAGTAGGGGTGGAAAAAAATCCCGAAAATCCCGAACCGAACTAAAAAAATCCCGATTCCAAACCAAAAATTTCCCAAACCGAAATTCCCGAACCAATCCCGAAATTTCAGTACGGGATTCGGGATTGGCTTCTCGATATTTCGAGAATCCCATACCGAACCGAAAATATATAATATTAATTATTATATATATATATATATACATATACATATTATATATATATATATATATTATTCTTTTATAATTGATGCTAGTAGTTTCTAATTCATGCTCCGCAACCTAGAATGCCCTACACCTTGCATATTTTTCATATTCTGTTTGATATTCATTTGGATTTTATTATTGCTGCTGTCATGGCTGATGATTTCAGAAGACTTCATTTTCTTGTCTCTCAACAGATTGCAAAAAGGGTTTAATTAATTTGAATTTTGACTCTGATAAAAACAATCAGGCATGCTAGTTTTAGATTAAATGGTAGTGTGAATGAAATGACATTCCTAGTTCATGAATGTGTTCTTGAATTATATATTTGAACAACAATTCAAAATTTCATATTTAAATTTGGGATTCCCGATTTGTTACGAAATCCCAAAAATATTTTGGGATTCCCGAAAATTTGGTTTGGGATTGGTCTTCAAATTCTCGTCCTGAAAAATTTCGGTTTGGAATTCGAGATACTATTTTCGGTATGGTATCTCATACCGAACCACCCATGAGTATACGACGCTATGGAAAGTCATATAATATTATAATAATAAATTAAAAAATAATATTAATTTTCTAGATAAATAGTATGCGTGATGTCATTTTGCGAGTTATCAACCCGTCAGTTGACACAACACAACATCAATATAAATGGATAGGCCGGACACAACCCGTTACTGCCCTTAATTGGATTTTCAAATGCTTATGTTGTAATGAAAGTTTGAAACACGCCAGCAAACACAGTAAGTGTATAGCATATTATTAATTGTCAATAACAGTTTGATATGTGCGAGTAACTCTTTTTTTTTTTAAACTTCGGTTCCCACTACAATGCTATGTCTCATTCATCTGTACGACTTTGATGCAAAATTTTACCGTTGCAAAAAGATTCCTACATATAAGATCAAATCATTGATCTCCTAGACTACTAAGTGATACATACCATAAAAGAAGTATTGAATAATTGGCTACATATATGTATCAAATAAGTAAGAGAGGGAAGCTCATTTGTGCCTTGAATTAAACGGCCAAAAGATTAGATTCTTAGAAGGTGGAAGATCATTAAAAGGAGCACAAACCGAAAGTGTAAGCTAATAACCCTAAACTGTAGACACAAATTTCACACACACAACAATGCCCAAGAATATATGTTGAATTGAATATTTTGATCTCAACCCTATAAAAATCTAAGGGCTTAAATTAAACCTCTGAAAGTTGACCTATCACACTAATATATACAGAAAAGAAAAAAAAAAGAACTTGATAATAATTATGAGAGTGGCAAAATTACACATTACTTGAATTTTGCTGGAGAAAAGACTCCCAACCAGTCATTAGCAGAAGGATTAGGACTAACAACATTCACAGTTACCCATTCATAATCCTTCCCCTGCAAACAGAAAATGAACCAAAAACATCATTATATTCCAAACAAAACTATTCGTACAACATTCATCAATGTCAAGAACAAATATGATACAAAATTGACGATACTCAAGAAGTAGTTGCTGACGTTACCGTGGTGCCAAGAACTACAGGGTACACATGAACAGAAGCCTTTTCGTGAATCGCATGGACGGTTTTGTGGATTAAAATCTTGGAAAGTGGTTGCACTCCATCACCTCCCTCCTTATTCCTGTAATGTTTATGACCTACTGAGAAATTCACTAAGAAAATCAACAAGAATGCAGCTTTCAGAGACAAGAAGCTAAAGAAGCTCTCCATATCTGTGTATGCTTGGGTCTCATATGTCTTAACTCTTAGCTATATTTATACACAATTTCATAGCAGACCTAAAGCACTAATTTTTTTTTTTTTTTTTGGTCTTTGCTGTACTAGTACCATTTGCTTCATTTTCTATTTTCTGCTATTTATTTATTAATTTTTTAAAAATTAATTTTTATTGGCTTTTCCTTTGGCCGGCTTCATTTAAGAATCGCATCAACGTTTTCTACATGGTTTTTTTTAGCAGAAAATGTTACTTTTATAAGATTAATCTGGATGCTTTTGCCCTTCGGCATGAAGGAACAAGGAAGAGACCACAAGGAAAATGAAAACTTTTTGCATAAGGTGTCGACATGCTGCGAGAACGTTCTTGCCAGTTTATAAATACTATTATACTACCACGTGAGAATGTAGAAATTAGAACACTCTTGAAACGAGAAAAGTCATGAAATGAGCTAGTGCAGAACGAGAAATTGTCAAATATTCTTACCTAATCAATTTATTTTTAGTTTTTCAAGTATTAGTTTACGAATTACATTTATGAGATTGAGAACCACATTTAAAAAAAAAGTGTACCTGTTAGTAAATACAAGGATAGCAAGGAATCGAAATGGTAACAAAATCTTATGTTAGTAAATATTAAGGGTGCTGTGGATGCAAATTTTCTCCTCTTCGATCTTGGACGATTTTGCACCTACAAAACAACTAGCACCTTAGGTTAAGGCCAAGAGCCTCACGCGCCCACGATGAATGGGGGGGCTTTGGCCGAAGAACCTCCGATGCCAAAGTTAGAATTTTAGAGAGAAATAGTGTTTAGAATATTTGGGATTTTTTGTAAGAGAATTGGAACTAGTGTTTTGTAAAAATGGGACCCAATTTATAGGAGAGGAAATGGTGATTTATTTTGGGGGGTTATGGAGATAATGGGCTAGTTATTTTGGGGAGTTATGGAAATAATTGGCTAGTTAATTAGCAAATAGTAATAACCTAATTAACTAGCTATTTGAATGTCATAAAAAGGGGGAGAAAATGGCAGCAACAAACAGAAAATAAAGGGCATGGCCGGCCCTAGTGGGTTTTTGGTTATAATTTGGAGGTTTAGTTGATAATTAAGGGATTGATTAGGTAATTAATCCCTTAATTAGTCAATTTTAGGAAATATGAAAGGAATAAGTATATTATTTAGCTAATTGATTAGCTAAATAATGAAATGGGAAATGTATGAATAAATTAGGTTTTAAGTTGATACCTATTTTGGGCACTTTTGACTTGGTTGAAGGATAATTGTCTGCTGATTGCACGTAGGAATCCCAGTATACCTCAAGGGTAGTTTTGTCTTTTTTTGTCAAAAATCCACGTGTCGCCTTGTGATTTTTTTTTGCTCCATAGGTGCAACTTAGGTTGGGTTAATCTGAATCTGTCTATACTCAATTCAGTTTTAAACATGATTGAGTGGGTTAAAATGAAGTAAAAACTTGCTCAAACTCAACCCGGCCTCAATCGGTCATTTATTAGGTTGGGTTGGGTTGATTCCTTGCCCATTCATGTCAACTCAAACCTAACCCGATTTCTAGCCCAAATTCTCTCATGTACATATTACTCATTCCACTTCATATTATATAGGCAAGGTATAATTGGTTTTTATTTGTACAATGAAAGACAATGTTCCTTTTTTGTTTCTTTTGGTTGAAAGTGAAACTTTGGTATTCTCTTGTAATTTTATTCCAACTTTGTATGGTTGAAACATTAAAGTCCACACTACGTAGTTTAGTTTTGTGTGGATGATGATTTGTAAAATCGAATTATAACTAATACATATCTACGTTGTGGTAAAAATTTGATAAAATCTTGCTGAATAAGGTGTTACAAGATTGAACTCGATAAAGTTGGGCAAACCTAAACCTAAACCAAGTAAGCTCGAACCCAATAACTGGAACGCGAATAAATCCGCATGAACCCGAACTTAACCCAAACCAAGATTGTGAATGTTGGGTTAGGGTTGAGTTGACTGTCTAACTCGGCCATCCTGCCCAAGTTGCACCCCTATCATACATAAGATAGGTTATGAAGCGAAATAGGTTTAGGGAAGTGATTTTCACACATCTGTTTTAGCTTTTTACACACATCTCTTTTTATTTAAGACTATCAAATTGAATAAATTAGACGAAATCACAACCATAATTAAAGAGAAATTTATAAAAGATTAAAACAAAAAAATAATATATATATGAAAATCACTCTCCCTAGTTTTAGTATCAATTCCAACTCATTTCATGTCAATGAACATGAGAATAATGCCCTTAATAATGACAATTTTTTTTATAAGTGATACAATCCGAAAAGTAGGAAGTACGAAAAGAAAGTCGGACTCACTAAAGCAATCTACAATTTACATCAACAACAACAACAACAATAATAATAATAATGACAATGTTAGGGTAATTAAATTTTTAAACTAAATTTGCAAATCAAACTATGTGTCATAAAAAAGAAATAGGTATGTTAATCAACACTTATAATAATTCAATCATCAGCATCCATGCTATTTGATTTACAAAATTTAATTTAGAAATTTGATCTTCTTAACATTAGCCTAATAATAATAATAACGACGAGGACAATAATAATAATATTTTTTATTTGCATTGATTCCCAAAGATTGATCTCCAAATCTCTACAATGATTTTCAATTGTAGGGAAGGGACAAATGATAAGTGAAAGACACATTATCCTCCACCTTTTTATTATTTTTTGTAAAGCATACAAACAAAAGAAGCTACGATTAAACCACCATATGAAACATTTCAAATCTTAAAACATCCACGTACCCTCGCCCTCGTGGGGAGATTATCTTGACAGCAAGGTATGACCAACAAAACAATTAATTAGTGAACTCCTTTTCCATCTTTGATTAGTGATTAGTGACAACCTTTCTTTGTGTACCATTTGGAATTAAAAACAACACCAATAAATAAAGAGTATGGGACTACGACCTAGTTTGGGAGTGAGGTGCTTAAAAAAAAAGAACCCATGAAAAAAAGCTGTGAGGGTTTTAGGTGTTTGGTAAACTGAAAAAAAAATGGCTTATTTTGGAAGCTGCTGTGAGAATAAGCTGAAATCAAAGGAAAAAGCTGAAGCTGCTATTTGCAGCTTTGGAAAACTGGCTTTTTTTCAAAGCACATGGAGCTACAGTGCTTCTTTAATGAAAAGACCCACTATTAGACTGCTTTTTTTTTCCAAAAACACTTTTACAAAAAAGTTTACCAAACACTCTGCTGATTTATTTCACAGCTGCTTATTCTCACAGCACAGCCGCTTATTCTCACAACAGTTTTTTTTCAAAGCACAGCAATACCAAACCAGCCCTACATTACCCTATAAATTTAAAAGTGGGCCCATAGTAATACTAAGGGCTGGTTTGGTATTGCTGTGCGTTGAAAAAAAACTGCTGTGAGAATAAGCGGCTGTGCTGTAAGAATAAACGGCTGTGAAATAAATCAACAGAGTGTTTGGTAAACTTTTTTGTAAAAGTGCTTTTGGAAAAGAAAAAAAAAACAGTCTGATAGTGGGTCTTTTCATTAAAGGAGCACTGTAGCTCCGTGTGCTTTGAAAAAAAACCAGTTTTCCAAAGCTACAAATAGCTGCTTCAGCTTTTTCCTTTGATTTCAGCTTATTCTCACAGCAGCTTCCAAAATAAGCCCTTTTTTTTTAGTTTACCAAACACCTAAAGCCCTCACAACTTTTTTTCATGGGTGCTTTTTTTTTTAAGCACCTCACTCTCAAACCACCCTAACGCGCTAGAAGTGAGAGAGAATCAGATCAACTAGTTTCTTTGTCGATCAAGATTTTTAAGTATTTGATTACAAGTTTTTAAGTATTATCTGTAAATAAACACAGGAGAAACTTAAGGAGTGAAATGATTTTCATACAAATATTTTAGTAACGCATGAAACTCAATAATTAAAATAAGAGAAATGCTAAGGAGACTCTCAAATTGAGACTCTCCATAAACTATACGCCACTTCATGATTCTGGCACAAAGTTTTATGATGTTGTCACATGAATTACGCTAAAAACATGAGGTGGTGGAGAGTTCATAAAAAATCTCAAACTTAAAAGAATTTCCTTAATGTTTCCCATCAAAATAATTCAAATTTTTACTGTTTACATGTATCGATACTTAATATCTTTTTTGTCAAATCCCCAAATATCTTTTACATTATATTTGGATGAAGAAATTTAAGATTACCAAGGAATTTTAAAATGACGGGATTTTATTTTCTAGAATTTGTGAATTTTCTTGTTTGGTTTGCCTAAAAGAACAATGAAATTGAATACAGAATTTGTTATTTTTAAGCTCTCAATCATAGAAATTGGGAAATGACACCTATGTATATGAAATTAAAACTTGGGAATTGGAGGTCCTAAATTCCAAGTTTTTTTCTACGCGGAAATTCTAAATTTCTATGTTTATGAATCCAAACAAGAGAATTCGTGCATGTCAATTTACAAATTCCGACTTTTATCCAAATTCCAAGTTTATTTCCCTCATCCAAATATAGCGTTAGAAATTGGGAAATGCGGATAATGTCTAGGTCACATGGTTCAGTTCGACAATAAAAAAACAGGTCACGTGCCTCTCATTTTATTTTACTCATTTATATAATTCCAAACAGGATATCTTATCTTTACTGCAAATAGGCACAAGAAATTAATTCTTTATGCAAAAAAAGGAAAACGTGATCAAATATTAATATGTAAATTGATCACAGCATATTTTGTGAGACGATGCTGTAGACAGGAGTGCAAATATTGTTTAAGAAGCTTAGGCCCACGAAATTAATATTATGTTTTTTTTTTTTTGGTGAATAGAGAGGGTGAAGACATCCAGACAAACTAATATATATCATTAATAACAATAAAGCGGTCCATAGGGGCACCAACAATATCATCCATTAGATGTTGCATAAGTCACTGGGGAGAAGACTGAAAAAAATACAACCCAAGGTTCAAATTGTAACTTCATTTGGCTAGCTGATCTGCAACATTATTCACTTCCCTGAAGATATGTTAGCTCACAATGC